AACACATGTCTATGGTTAGAAAACATAACCATCTTTGATTAACGAGCTTGTCAAGTAGAGGCATACTAGGGACTATATGTTTTGTCTATGTATTCACACATGTATTAAGTTTCCGGTTAATAAAATTCTAGCATGAATAATAAACATTTATCACGAATTAAGGAAATAAATAATAACTTTATTATTGCCTCTAGGGCATATTCCCTTCAATGCCGCGGTCCTCGAAGCATATACACCATCATAGCATCATCAGAGCAGTCGAGTTGTCATCGCAGTATCGTCAAACAGTCGTGCCATCATCATAGCATTGCCACGGCCAAAAAGCACGTTGTCGCTGCAGTCGGGTCTTCGTTGGAGCATCACCGCAACCATGAAAGACACTGCCGCGGCATCGCTGTGACCGTTCGAAGCACACTGCCATCGTGGTTCGTCACCACATCTTTGCGGTAGTTGGTGCACATCGGCACAACATCATCAAAGGAGCTAGGTTGCCTTCATAGCATCGTCACTGCTGTCGAAGCACCCGCCGCAGCCGTCACAACATCATTGAAGCAAACAGCTTGCCGTCGTGGCACCATCGCACCGATCAAACCACATCGCGGCCATCAAAGCATCCAATCGCAACATCATTGAAGCAGCCGGGCTGCCGTCGCAGCATCACCACGCCCGCCAAAGCACGTGGTTGTGCCATTTCCATGGCCATCGAAGCATGTCGTCACAAACATCATTGAAGCGACCGGCTTTCATCGCAACGCCTCGTAGCGTTGCTGCCGTCGAAGCAGTCGAGCTTCCATCACAGAGACCGTCGACCAGACTCGCACCCTCACACTACACCCGTAAGTCGGACCACCCCTCGCGAAATCGTTGTCTCGGCTTGCAGCGCATCTGACCTCGTACGCAACAGCGACACCGCTGCTGGTCTTTGAAGCAGCTCGTGTCATTGAGTGAGCATGGATGACTTGAGTTTTTTCTTTGAGGCAATGGCTGACTTGCTACTTAATAACTGATGCTACAAGAGAAGAGCATAGATGACTGGACTTTGCTACTTACCTGAACTAGAAGCCCCTCAAACAAACAAAAACCCTGAGGCCATGTTCGGTTGACAGGGTTGTGGAGGGGTTTTAACAAGGATTGAGGTGGATTAAATCCTCTACAAGTCAAATCCCTCCCAAATCCCCTCCAACCCTCTTAGGGCAGGGTGTAACCGAACAAAGCCTGAACTAGAAGCGCCTCCCTGTGTCACTTATGCGTTGCTGCGATAACCAACTGGTTATGTGGAGTCGCTGCGTATGGCACTAAACTAGCCGCGTGGGAATGGATGCGTGAAAGCAGGGTCCATGACCAGCACCCACGAAATGAATGAATTAAACGGGCTTACTCGGGTGGATCGAACGGATTAAAAGGTGGACGGGTCGAATAATCGAGTGGCTGGCGACCTAGCTGATCCCACGCACGGATCAGCCGGATGATGCCGTCGCCTAGCGTCCGCCAAAAAATAATCTGCAACAAAAAAGAATGACGAAAAAACAGAAGAGAAAAACCAAAGCCAAAACCACCTTTTTTTACTTTTTCTCCTTGTGCTTCTCGCGAAAGAAATCCGTGCCTCCACGGAAAGCAAATCTATGCTTCTCGTGGAAGCACATTTATTTTCATTTTCAAGAAGCACAACTGTGTTTCTCGCGGAAGCAAATTTGTGCATCTTGTGAAAGCATAATTTTCTTTTCGAGAAGCACAGTTGTGCTTCATGCGGAACCAAATATGTGCCTCCACGAGAAGCAAAATATATACTAATCGTGCAAGCATAGTTTTTTTTTCCCTAGAAGCACAATTGTATTTCTTGTGGAAACAAATTTGTGCCTACACGAGAAGCAAACGTTTTTTCTGCACGGAAACAAATTTGTGCCTACGTGCTTCTCGTGGAAGCACATTTTTTTTTCTATCTTCTCATGAAAGCTAATTTGTGCTTCTCGTGAGAGAGAGAAATTGTACATTTTTTGTGTTTTTCTCTCCTAAAGCTAGGGAAAGCAGGCAAAAACCAAATAAAGTCAAAACACTCATTTAAAACCAAAAAGCTCATACATAAAAAAAAATCCAAAGAAAACGTCTAGCACACGACATGTGACGGCGGCTAAACGCACCACTTGACGTTCTCTAGAGGTGACCCTTGAAGATCCCCGCAAGGGGTAGCATCCAATTAGCTGCTCTCGGGACATTGTGAGTCAAAATGTCCACCAAAAGCACAAGCATGGCTAGGGTGGGCCGGCCATTTAATGTTGCAAGCATTGATGCTAACCGAGCCAATGATTTACTTTTCATATTGTAGGGTTTCTAGCCGATTTTCTTCAAAAGAAACATTTATAGTAGATTATTAAAAAATTGTAAAATTTGAAACATGGATGTTTTAAAGACTTGTGTGAATAATTTTCAAATGTTAGATTTTTTAAAATAATACTTTTAAGAGGACATGAACATATTTTGAAAACTTGAGAACATATCTCAAAATGTTTGTGATTTTTTTAATTGTGCAAATATATTTTTTCCAAATTCCTAGCATTTTTTGAAAAAATGTGAAAATCTTTTAATTTTTTTAACAGTATTAAAAACATGAATAGTTCTAGATTTTTGCGAATATTTTTGTAAAATAAATAATAACCTTAAAAGGGGGAAACCTTAAGGAAAACAACACTAAAAAAGAAACAAAAAGGGACAAGGAAAACCAGGAATCAGAACCTAGCTCGATGGGTTGGCCCAGTTCGGTCCCTTGCCTGGCCTCTACGTGCGTCACCAATTTCGTGCAACACACTGAAATAGTAAATTGTCTAAAAAAGAACTTCAAATAGTAAATTGATCTTAAAAAAAATCTTGAAATAGTAAATGTCAGGGCCACGAATAGTAGTCTTTTTCAGTTATTTATTCATTAATTCGGAAAATTTCTTATTCCCAATTCTAGAAAAGATAATTGTAATTAGTTTTAAAAGTGAGAGAAATTATATTACAGAAAATAAACAAAATTTGCTTGGGAGTGCTTCAGGCCATTTGTATCGTAGCATTGCGCACTTTGCGGACATGCTAATAATTGTTGAAAATGACTTGAACTTCTACTACTCCCTCCATTCCCTTATACAAGGCCATTATAAAAAATACATTTTGCATCTATACAAAGCCACTAACAGTAATCGAGGCAAAAATTAATGATGTTTTCTCGTAGTACTAGCAACTAGTTTAAATACTTGCATACATGTAGTCATAATGACACAAAGCTACTTCCTTTCTATTCCTTCTTTGCATGCATGCGGTGTATTAATAATCTCAATTAAGAAAAAGAAAAATTCCTAACTTGCGTGGATGCGGTGTAATTAATGATCTCGGTTAACAAAAAAAAGTTGGCTTGCAAAATAGTCACTAAATTTTGCCTTGGTACCTGTAATTCAAGTTTGTTAAGTTAGGGATTAAATAGGACCCAGATTCACGGCGTTATAACCGAGAGGGTCTCTAGAGTAATTGCAAAACTTAAAGATTGCTACTCCCTCCGTTTCAGTTTACAAGTCCTACATGTATATCTAGGTTGCCAATTTAATCATCCTAATATAAACTATATAACACAAAAATTATATCGTTTAAAAATAAAACATCTGAAGTTTATATTGGTATGTTTTTGTAATATATGACTTGTATTAGGTTGGTCAAATTGACGACCTAAGGATACACGCACGCCCTATAAATTAAGAGAGAGGGAGTAACATTTTCAAAATAGACTTTAATGCTACATTATAAATAAAACACCAGCCAAATTTGTAGTAGAAGTTACCTAAGTGCAGTAAAAGATAAAAGGTAAGGTCCGCCGGGGCAACAACACGACATGTCAAAAAGAAAAAAGAGAAAAGTCAAATATGACCACTAAAAGATGAGTAGTCAACTGCTAGCAGGTGAAGCAAACTACGGGAAAACATCCTAAAGACCATCCAATATACTGGCAGCCGGTCCATATCTGTCTTGCTGTAAAAAAATGCTACTCCCTCTGTTCCATAATATAAAAGCATTTTTGACACTACGCTCTTATATTATGGGACGGAGGGAGTAAAATTTAAACACAGGATCAGAAGCATGTCGCAAGAAGCCCGGTTGATAGACATCTTGTTATGAATAGCCGACAAGATACATGTCATCGCTGTGAATACCAACCAAAAGCGACGCCTCCAACTTCGGTAATCGCCCAGCTCCAACGCCTGCCACTCTGAACCTCACAAACATATTCTTCCGTCCCAAAATAAGTGACTAGTACTCCCTCCGTCCCAAAATAAGTGACTAGTACTCCCTCCGTCCCAAAATTCTTGTCTTAGATTTATCTAAATACGGATGTATCAAGTCACGCTTTAGTATTAGATACATCAATATCTAGAAAAATCTAAGACAAGAATTTTAGGACGGAGGGAGTACAAACTTGAGTTACTTATTTTAGGACGGAGGCAGTAATTTCGAAGGAACCAGGCTGCAGGATAGGTGAAGAATATGGGTCTTGGATTCAGGACACCACAGAAAGAGGACAATGGCCATAACGGCTAACTCATAACAGCAAGCTCATTTGTTTGCCAATAGCGGAGGGGTTGCGTTTTGCTGTTTTATCCGGGTGTCATTACCGGCCTGCACCCCGAGCCTAGCTGAAGATAATAGTAATGATTCTGTGTTGTCCTATATAATAAATAAACAAACAATTGGTAATTCTAAGCAAAGCGAAAGCGCAGGTTACAAAACCAAATGCCGGTACATCGACATCTTCATGACATTTGCACATTGTGAGAAGAGACCTAGATAATGGAAATGCACGCTACAAATCAAAATTTGGCTGCATCACCCTGTATAAGCCATTTGTGTTATATTAGATCAGACCTGTTTTAACTTAGACAAGTGCTTCACAAGTAAAAGTGGCTCGTCGTGGGCAGAAGGAAGATCCGTTGACTCCGAACATATCTTCCTTTTAGCGCAAAGTTTACGCCTACTTGTTATAACCTGCCTGTGGAAATCAAGGAGTTTGTGGTTAGCAAAGGAAAACCATAGAATAGGAATTTATACCAACAGATGGGGTCAAATATATTTTTACATGGGGTTTCCCGTGATTGGTCAGATACTACCAGGCATAGTTCTCCTAAGAACTTGCTTTCCCAGGTATATATCCAAGTAACCCTGCAAGACAAGATTTTGTAGATTGTTTAGCCGAGTACAACAAAACTAATCCCTCCGATCCATATTAATTGTCGCTCAAATGGACGTATTTCAATGCTAGATACATCCATTGGAGCGACAAGTAATATGGATGGGAGGGAGTAGCATTCTTGCTACAAACAGGAAGAGCATAGGCTACCACCTGAACGAGTTGTTCTACACTCTGAGATTCCTCTGCAAAAAACCTAAAGATGGCTGCTTCTGTACGAGGCACCTTTGGGCCCAATGTCAAGGCCACTTTATCCACGGCTTTCCTCGCTATAATTTTGTGGACCTCACGAGATAAGAGGCCTTCTTCCCACAGAGGCCTTAAGATATTTTTTATGAATTCGCCGAGGGCACATTTGAATGCTGTGATACTTTCTTCATCAGTACTTAGTTTTGGTGGCCCACTATGTGAATCACAGATCCGCGAACCATTTGCAATCTCACTTTCGTAAATTCCGCCACTAAATTCATTCTTTTCAGATTGTTTAAACTGTTTTCCCTGCACAGCAGTCCCACTAAAGGCTGAAAAGCACTGACTTGTATCCTCCCCAGTTGCCTGATTAATCGCTTCCTTTGCACTATGTGAATCAGAGATCCGTGACCCATTTGCAACCGTTCTTGTGCAACTTCCTCCGACAAATTCATTCTTCTCTGGTTGCTTAAACTGTTTTTCGTGCACAGCAGTCCCACTAAAGGCTGAAAAGCTCTGACTAGTATCCTGCCCAGTTGCCTGATTAACCGCTCCCTTTGCACTATGTGAATCAGAGATCCGTGAACCATTTGCAACCGTTCTTGCGCAAATTCCTCCAACAAATTCATTCTTTTCTGGTTGCTTAAACTGTTCTTCCTGCACAGCAGGCCCACTAAAGGCGGAAAAGCTCTGACTAGTATGCTGCCCAGTTGCCTGATTAACCGCGCCCTTTGCACTGTGTGAATCAGAGATCCGTGAACCATTTGCAACCGTTCTTGCGCAAATTCCTCCGACAAATTCATTCTTCTCTGGTTGCTTAAACTGTTCTTCCTGCACAGCAGGCCCACTAAAGGCGGAAAGGCTCGGACAAGCATCATGTGGTTCCGAACCGTGCCCAGTTACTTGATTAATCACTTCTTGAGATGCCTCGAATTCTTCTTCATCTGCGATCATACTAGGCAAACAATTTAAGTCTGGTATTGTAAAACGTGGGGTGCAATCAGCTGGTCTAGCAACATCAGGTATTTTTATGCCAACATCAGATAGGCAGGAAATCTGTCGATTTGATGTCACTTCAAGAACTCCAGGTGGCTGATAATCTTCCTTTGTTCCTTTATCATTTTCAGAGTCTGCCAGAGATAAAGACACTTGCCTCTTTCTTCTGCAATTCATGGTATCTTGTCGGATGTCTCTGCAATCACCTCCACTGGAACAAATTTTTATGACTCTGCAGTCAGTTCCACTGGAGCAATTGACATACTTCTTCCCTTTCTCCAATTCTAAAGTAGTTTTACTGCACTGATTGGAACACTCTGACCCACAGACCTTCACATTACCATCATCAGGAGAGCAAACTGCAAGACTTTTTTGATCCAGCAGTGTTGGACCTGTTATCAAACTGGGCATTTGTTCAAACCATTTGGCACCATCGCCTTGTGCTGCTTTCCTTTTAATTTCACAGCCGATGCCCAGTTTATATTTTCTCCCATCATCCAAATGATTGCCAGTCTCGTGCTGAGAAACATTCCGATACACACTACTATCAGGATAAGTAGCTGCTTGATCTACCTTACTAATATCTGCCCAGTTGTTCCGTCTAGTTTGTTTCTTGCTAGTATCAGAACAACTGTTGTGACTAGTTTGTATCATGCCATTTGGATGAACAGTTGATGGTAGACAGCATGGAAGTTTATTCTCTTCCTTTTGCTGCATGATTTCACCTGGATGTGGTTCTTGCAAAACCTCCAGATTGCACTTCAGCCCTTGCTTGGCTGAGCTTTTGTTGTAGTTTGTACCACTGAGGCATCTGAAGGGCTGCTCTGTATTTATCATTGCTCTTCCCTCACCACGGTTTTGTACTCCATCAAGCGACGTTGCACCTCTACATTTTTGGGAATTCTCCAATTCAGTATCATTTTCAGCCGCACTTTCTGAGTTCCCAGAAGCACTCTCAGATGCATTGACATTTTCATCATCACTTTCTGAGCTACAAGAAGAAGCAGACCATTCATGCCTCGCAGTACCTGTTTGATCTAGTTTTTTAGCTTCAGCACTGCTTTCCTTCCTTAATCTTCTTCTTCTCCAAATATCTAGACATTCGCGAAGTAATTCAGAATGAGAAGTATTATCAGCTTGCTTTGTATGCACGCCCTTCTCCATATGAGTGACTGAGAGATTCTGCAGGTTACGTGTCGAAATGTCTCCAGTTCTTGTGTTTCGAGGTCTTTTGGTACAACCAACAACACTTGGCTGCTTGTCAGATACTAATTTCATGTTGCTACTCCCTTTTGGCTCATTAGATGAAGCGATGGTTTTGCTGCTGTACTTGGGACATAACACATGTGAGTTTTCATTAGACTTTGTTGAGCCACAGCATGTAGCAGCAGCGGCCCGAATATTCTTCATTAGATGGCAGTTCCCTTCTGCTCCATTATGATCTACTTCATCGTTTGTTTCAGCATTTTTCTCCCAATTGTCATTTCTCATCGTATCAGAACCACTATGATGTACCTCATGATGCAGATGCTCATCCTGCTCACGACGTGAACATAATCCTTTAGGGTGCCCCTCATAAATCATACGCTTCTTAGCTTTCTCTCCGACCAGCTGACCTCCATACCTTTTGTGTCTACTGTTCTCAGCTTCCTGTTCAAACGGTTGTTCTCCAGATCTTGTCTGCCGACTGCTTCTCCCATGTTTACCAACACAAGGCACACTGGAATTGTTTTTCTGAGAACTCCATCTTGCCGGTTTTGTTTTTAACCTCTTGCCATGATAAGCATTCCTGCAATTTCTAATGCCCAACCTATCATGAAAATCCTCACGGAGTGAAAGCTCAGGTTGCCTAGGATGGATAGTGCGCAGTTTTTTTGAATTTTTTATAGTGTGCAATTTCTTAAATGGCTTCTTGGTGTAAGCTTTCCTTTGTTCATCCCTATGACGCAACCGACTAGCTGAGGTGTGATCAGGATTATTGTCAGTGTAGAAGCTGTCCATGTAAGCCCGATGCCGTGCTTCATCTATCTCAGAAAAATGGTCAACTGGAAAGTAAGATGGCAGATATTGGTCCGCTTGATAAGGTCCATTCTGAGTGCTACTTCCCCCGTTAAACTGACAAACCTTGCCAAGGGTTACCGTATCATGAATATGTCCATCGGCCCCTTTTGCATAATCACAAACACAATCAAAGGATGGACTAGTCCTCTCAGTCCTGCAATATAAGAAATATAAATCATTAAAGGCCTCCTGATCGACAAATTTCGAAATAATTGGAACAGGACAAATACAGAAATGAGACGTCGCATACTACGGATTTTTAAAAGATGCCTTCCAAAGATTCGTAAGAAAAATAAATGCATGACATTTTGAGGAATGAAAAGGGAGTGGAAAGTGGAAACATATAGAGTGACAGCCAATTGAACTTCTAAAAAATTGAATGAGGTTTGATGTCATGTTGGTTTTCTTATGGAATCGAGGTCATAGGAAAAAAATTACATAAGAAATTTGACGACCCCAATCATAAGATCCAAAGGGCGGCCCTTATCAGAAAACCATTTTAAAGCTTGGAGAGTACTCCAAAACTAGATGATACCCCACACGTTGCTGCGGGGATTGCTTCCAATATATTCAATGAGATTTTGCTATATGAATATGAATTTTTTGAATAATAATATAAGACTGAAACTGAAAATACATATGATTATGTATAGTATAACTAAAAAAATATTGAATAGTAGCATAATATAATTAAAGCACTTGAGCCATTTTGCATGCATGGTTGCATGTTGAGGTGGGTCTTTTCCCATGCATGATTGAATGTTGAGATAAATATGTTAGTTGGGATCACCTACTTAGTTGTATAGGATTCTTATGAAAAAACCCACAACAAAGGTCTAAATGGTACAAAATGCATCCATCATTGAAAATTCCTGTAGCAGTTACCAAATATTCTACCTTATCTCTGAATCATGGAATTCCATCAAGAAAGATACGTGTAAAGCTGAATAACATGATGACCATGACACGAAAAAGTTAACACACTAATGAAAATCATAACCTGTTGGGTATATGCACAGGGTACCTCAAGTTTGCACTGCTATGGGGTTGCTCCCTTGTTGCTTGTTCTCTTTGACGAAGGGTTAACTGCTGCCAATCATATTGCTCACTGCAGCTATATCCTCCCGAAATGAATCCAAAGGGTAGCCTATTTGATCCCATTAATTCCGCAGCTGATGAAATGAGATGACACTGGCAATGCTCACCCCTATATCATATAGATGAGACCGAGAAGTTGTTGTATTCTTACTTCCTGATGTAAAGCTTCCGGAAACCAAAAAAATGAGAATGAATTCAGCTCAAAGGTGCTGCCAGTTAAAGGAAAGTCTGAATTTACCATAAGAGATAAAATTTCAAAAGTTAAACTGTATAAAAAGGAGGCACCTACCAATAAGATCTTATCACCATATCCGATTCTGCATGATTTATGCTTCCATTAGCCCTTTCACACTTTGTGCTTTCTACCTAGCAACAAGTACAACACAATCATTAGATGGTTTCCTGCAACGCGTCGCCTGCTAGACCATATAGCAGATCAAATTGCAGGTCCCTTTCAACGATTATACTTTCTGGGCCCTATTTCCAAAACTGAATCCTACACTATCAGCACCAGGAAACAGTTAGGGGTGCAATTAAATCATGCTAGTGTCTGGTCAAAAAAGAAACTTCAGTAATATGACTACAAGATATCTATGATCTAGGAACAAATACATAGGCATCGCATAAAGCATGTGTAAGTTATGTTCCTAATTGCTTATTTTGCATTGCAAAATATTGTTCGAATTGTTGTGACCGGATCATTGCCGAAAGTAGATTGCGAGACGATTTTGTTAACGAGGTTCAGCGCGACTACGGGTGCTCCTCCCCACATATGAAATCAACATGATACACCGATGACAAAGGACAGCATCTCGACCACCACTCCACGCCCGGTTTGGTCATCCCTACCCCAGGCACCTGGACCACCCCCGTTGTGATATTGGGCCTGTTTGGATCACAGTCGGGAGCAGCCTTACCAAATTTTTGGTCGTTGACTGACTGGTTGGTGTATATTGGTTTGAAGCCAATTTTTTGGATATACGCCAAGGTTTTGGTTGGCCCTTCAGTTTTATGCTGGTTCGTTGGCGAGCCCACGGCGGTAAATATTGCGCCAAAAAGTTGGCGAGCCATGATTTGGCAAGGCAGCCACGGGCAGCATCCAAACAGCCCCCTTGTATCTAGCCTACCAGCTTCGTCTTTTGGCTACCTCGCCGTGGCGTTACATATTTGGCTCGGGTTACATGCATTCAACTCGAACATCTAACTCTCCGCGTATGCCAAGTCCAACTGTAACCTTGTACACATATTCAACACCAATTCCAATGAACATCATACCGGTAATGTCTAAATACTGGCATCATGCTTAATTCTTTGATCATTCAACGAATATATGATCTTGTATCAAGCCTACCAGCTTCGCGTTTTGGCTACCTCGCTGTGGCGTTACATATTAGACCCCAGGTTGCATGCTTTCAACTCAAACATCTAACTCTCCGCATATGCCAAGTCCAACTGTAACCTAGTTCACATATTTGACACCAATTCCAACAAGCACCATATCTGTGAAGTCTGAATACTGGCAGCATGCTTAATTCTTTAATCATACCTGGAAAGTCTAAATACCTGTATCTTATGTTGGTAGATAATTAAAGGCATATATAGCCTGAACCTATATATGCTACTGTCCTTGCCTCTTCCATTAGGGAATTAAATCAATGTAACCAAAATAGTAGAAATGGTCCTCGAAAGTCAGCTAGCAATACATGATAGATTTTCAATAAAAAGTCACACGTGCTGCAAAACAAATGACAAATCATAAACCGAAAGTAAAGAGATCAAAAGCTACTCTAGTGCTGCTCACGTAAGCTTCATTACTATTGGGTTTCATTGTCATCGTATAGGTTGAGTTTAAACGTGTTTCATGTGATGGTAAGCACTATCAGAACATAAGTTCTGGGATTCTTTTAGCTAACTCAATGCTCAAAATAAACTACGTGAATAGGACCTAGCCAATTGTTTGCATAAGATACATTCCCATGTGTGTTCTATAAATTGCCTGCATTGCAAACTAATATACACCGCAACAACTAAATGCATTTCTAACTGTTTTGTTTTGTGTGCAAAGGACTTTGTACAAACTATCTGGACTAACCAAATCACTTTTTTCCAAGACTTTGTGCTATTGCAACCATTTTTTAGACTACCAATTGTGTGATAGGGTTAAGTAAATTCAGTCATCTGTCTCAGAATGCTATTGAGACAATATTTGCAATCAGTTCTAATCAGTAGTTCTACAACATTGTCCGGCTGAAAATTATCACTGCCTTCTTGATTGCATAAACAACATAGATGACTTTGGAGTTAAAGTTGGCTAAGTTACTCTCATAGTTCGCTAGTATTTTTTTTTCTAGTTTAGCACACTGAAATTACTTCTAATAAACACACTGATCATACTGCGTTAATTAATATTTATGTAAACAACCATGATCAAGTTCGCCACACGGAGAATTCACTTGAAACATACTCTCTACAATAATATTTAACAGGCAATGGAGATTTAGATCCCCACTATTTTTACAATCACAGTAATAAGTTAATCCATGAGCATTCCTAGCAAGAATGCTCTAGTGAAAATCATGTTAATTTTCATCCAAAAAAGATATGAGCAGACCATAATTGTGAATATAGTTTGCACTTGTCAGAGAGAAGGGTAACACAATGAAGCGAATAATGGTTATGCAACTAACTAATCAGCAGTTAACATATTATAGCCTCATACTAGTAAATTCAATTAAATTTCAAATTGGAAAAATAATATTATTTAGTATTCGTTTACTATGGCCGAAAGAATAATTAAGCACAACCTAAATTATGTTCACACTTACAAGACTGTTGCTGCACAACATTATATACCATGAAGTTTACTGAACAGAAGGAATAAACCTTCCTTTTCTTCTTTATAATCAAGAAGAAAAGACATTCAGTTAATAAAGAAATAATCAATTAAACTATGAAAGACTATCGTGTGATCTCTACAAATAGGCTGTTTTTACAACAAACTATCTACAATGAAAGCATCACTATCTAAATATAAAAGCACAATTTTTATCCATCCGCAGGTAAGGATGCCATCCGAAATCTCATTTGGCCATCCATTTATCATTGACTGGGAGATTGGATTACAATCCGAGGAGCAAAGTTTATGTATCATTGTGTGAGTGAAGCATTATATTGGTTACTCTGCAAAGCTGATCCAATAGAACCATATTATGTTCCTTGTGCTCAAAATTCAAAAAAAAAAAAATGTAGACCATTGGGTGATCTATCTAGGAGGTGCTTCAAAAACAAGCGGGAGTCACCAGCTGGAATAAAGAGGTGTCCTATCCCAACCACCCCCTAGTACATATATACGAGTTCAATGTTCATACCTGTCTCTTCCTTGCCCTAACTAAACAGATTCCATGTCTTCTGCCACCACCAAATACTAGCAAATGAACGACCAGCAGCGTCAGTGTCAGCGTTGTGTTGGCGACAATTTCTCGTACCTCTTCTGAGTTTCCACCTCACTCATCTACCGGGGGCAATTAAATCTGGCAGCACAAATGCTGGGAAGGTGAGTCTGGCAGTGGCGCAACCGGCACCTCAACTCCAGCCTGTAAACACACCTCACAGGGCCGGATCATGACGGACTACTGCCATCGAACGCCTAGCCTTATACTCCAATATAAATTAGCACTACAAACTCAACGCCGTGCACTCAGTCTCACAAGTAGAACAGTCAAGCGAGGGAAGCGTCGATATGCACAAAACGAGTTAGTTGAGCAACAGAAAGGGTGCTGCACCTTGTGACCACATTGCATTGCAAGCACAAAGAAAGCGTTTGCCAATATGTAACATCAATCAGCTACTGTTGTTTTTGAAGTTAAAATTAAAATTCCAATTGAGGCCAAACAGACATGACGACCGGATCTCAGGGATGAAATATTTTTACCTTCACCCAGCAAAAGATGGCTGTGTCTGGAAATTTGTCCTGGCGTCAAGTCCTCACGCGTGACAAATTAACCTGCAAAGAATAAGATTAGAAATCAGAAGGAGTAGCAGGGTCTATTATCGCGACCCTACGTACAGCCCCACCATCTATTTTCAATGGTTCTAAGTCCTCGTTGACTCGAATTCGAACTCTTCTTTATTATATTGTCGGGAGTAGGTTCAAAGTCCACTTAGGATCGAATTTGTGTCCGTATTTACTAGTCGGAATTTCTCTTTCGCATTTCCTTGGGGAAAAAACTCGAAATAGAACTCGGAACATAGAATGCAAAGGAGGAGATTTTACAGGAAAGAATACATCAGAACGGCAAAAATAAATCGATTAGGGGGGAAAGAGCGCAAAGAACCGAAAATCTGGACACGTGGAGGGGGGCGGGGGGGAGGGGGTGTGGGGAGAAGAACGCGAAGAACTAGAGCGATCGGCGGCGCCATTGTTGCGCCGGAAAGTAAACCCTCAAAACCCTAACATCAGCATTGCGTCAAGAGTGATTAAAGAAAGACGGGGACGATCGCCCTTACCATCACAATGCAGCGCGCGCAATCTTTTCTGGGGAGGAACCTTGGAGAGCGCTGCCGCCGACGGGGAGGACGAGAAGCAGGGGGTGGCGGCGGAGACCAACGAAGCGAGCAGGGAATCGAGCGAGCGCCGGGGATTAGCTCTGTGAGACCAAAGGGGGGGAGAGAGAGAAGACGTGCGGGAGGAAGGCGGTCGCGTGCGTCGACATTCGGGCCCCCCTTAGTCACGTCGCTACGCCGGGTCTCCGCGCAATTTTGCCCAGTAAAAAACAGTACCATGACCAAGAACTTGGCATTACTAGCCGGACGATCTGTCCGCAGACCGCTCCGGATGTTATTTTTACCATAATTTTTTTAAACATTTTTACCGTAAAATTGGGGTGCCTAATGGCATGTACAATGGTTGATAAGCTAGTCTTATCTTAAATTTTACATGTAATTTAGAGATGACAAAAAAAGATGTATACAATGGGTCATCTCTTAGTCTTATCTTCAATAACTAGTTATTCCTAAAAACATGATGAGACATATTGTGCTAAGAGATCATCTCTTGTCTTCTC